TAGGTAGGTAAGTAGGGGTAGGTAAATAGGTAGTTAGGTAGGTAAATAGGTAGTTAGGTAGGTAAATAGGTAAGTAGATAAGTCCAAGATGGCGAGCATTTCTATTGGGGAAACATGGGCATCACAGGGAAAAGGAAGAAGTATAATGATTATATAAATAAATTATATAATTTGGAAAAAGTTTGGCGAGCCGGATTAAAAAACTGAACGGGCCACATCCGGCCCCCGGGCCTTAGTTTGTCATAGTAGGTGGTTCTATGAAGATCAGTGTTGTTATTGGATTCTACTCTGCTTGTCAACAATGAGTATGTAACTCCACTTTCCTGACTGAAGGTGGTGCTACTGTAAGCGTTTATTTGAAGTCTATGTTCAGAGATTTAAATCAACGTAATTGTTTCCATTCAAAACAAAAGGAAATGTGAAAAGTCATGAGACAAAGACAAAGAATGTTCCAAGAAGAATGGATGGACAATGGGTTTCCTTTTTTTTTTAATTTCAATCATTTTACACGTAGTCACTTATGCACACTTACAGTACATACACGCCAATGACAGTCATAACCATATATATATATATATATATATATATATAAACATTTCATTAGTTAAAATAGAAGTTGTATTTCTTACATCTGAATACTTCCCTGTACTACTGTAGTACTGTTCAAACATTCTAGGTGGTTGAATAATATTTGATGTGACTGCTGTAGTCCATGTAATTAAATACTGCACATACACAGTACATATATTATCAGTATTTAGACTACTTTTGTTCTCTGAGAGAGACCTTGGTCCAATCGTCCTGCTGTTTGATATGACCTCTGACCTAGAACTGTCCTCTACCATGACCCCGTGCAGTTCCGAGCCTACACACCGCTCTGTCTGTTTCACTTACTGACTGTGTTTCAACATACAAGTTACAAAACAGCCTAAAAGGCTGTGATTTGATGCACGTAAATTATTGTTTTTTTTGTTTGTTTTTTTGATTAGTCATTATTTTTAAGATTTAGTATCAGTATGTATCGGTAAAAATTATATATAAACATGCAATTTTTCCAAAGCCATAGCAGATTATCCGACCAGCATCTCCATAACAACCTAGATTTCCCTGCAAAACGACCCACTGTACGTGTTTAAATGTGTAAATATGGATTACCTCAAACACATGCCGCTAATTATGAACGCAACATACATCATGCAGTACTAAATATAAGGCGGAACAAAGACGTTACACAGTAGATATTTTCTCAACCAAGACCTGTTTCTCAGTTTCTATGCGGTGAATGTTACAACCAAACAAATAAACAAACAACAAAAGAAGCAAACGACACAATTAGACTTAATCCAATCCCATAAAGAGCACCAGTCTTCATGGGATGGGTGTTCCGTTATGGAAATGCTTAAAAGATTAAGGTAGAATGACTAAGTAAGCCGTCATTAAATATGAATAGGTAATGTAAATTGTCCCGACCAATGAAACGCACCGTCAGATACAGTGCTACATTAATAGCACTGACTAGCTGAACTATTTTTTTTTTTAATTCTCCCCAAAAATCCACACAGGTTTTTCTCTCTGTTCATTTCAGTGTCACTGTAAATACTCTAAACACCCGCGCTGTTACTCATGTCATAGCATGACACACACAAAGCGTCTGACTAGAAGCATTTGAATAACTACTGCCACCTACTGGATTGTGAACATTTTTATTGGTTAGTTTAGAACAGGGGGTGTCAAATTCATTTTCACCGGGGGCCACATCAGCAGCACAGTTCCCCTTGAAGGGCCGTATAGATCAGGGCTCCCCAACCCCCGGTACGAGGACCAGTACCAGTCCTTAGGTCATTTGGTACCGGGCCGCAGTGGGGCACAGTGAAAAAATGTACTTGATTTTTTACTAATTTACTTCATTCAAAGAAAATCCTGTCATTTCCATTTACTTTCTTTATTTTATTATTTTTTTTAAAAATATTTGGACTCTTATACAAACAGAATAGAGTCTAAAAGATGTTTTAGTTTGAAAATTTAATGAACTTTCGATGCTCAACACCTTGGTACTGGTCTGTATTAACGGTTGGTACGGGGTGACCAGTCCATCCATCCATCCATCCATCCATCCATCCATCCAGAAACTCTGCTGCACAGACTTCACTAAATGCTTTTTAAGCTCCCGTGGGCCAAGCAAAACGGCTTGGCGGGCCTCATTTGGCCCCCGGGTCTTGAGTTTGACACATATTGTTTAGAACCATTGTGATTAACTGGAAGTATGTATTAAGTGTTATGTTAAAAAATATGTTTCTGGTACAACTGTACTCGTGGGGACACTTGATGAACACAGACCTGTGTTTTAGGGACCCTACAAATAGCAGGGACCTTTTTTGCAGGTTTTTTTTTTTTTTTAGCTATCTTAAATTTCTAGTTTGGTGTAAGTATTAGTATCAGATTACTTAAGGTAAGAAATTTGACTCTGCACACATGTATAACAGTTAAGATTAGAGTAAAAGGTACCAAATGCCTGGCACCGCCAAGTGGCAGCAAATTGCAACACACCTGCTGTTGAGACAAGAATTTCCAGTAGTAGAATCAATAAAGTTCATCTAATTATTAATTATTATTATTAAAGAATGATTGTGTTGACTAGGTCAAACTGCACTAGTTCAGTTATCCTGGATATTTTTTTCCTACTTTTGTGCAATACCTCTCTGTTCCTCACAGACACCAGCCAGAAAATGTTTTTGGAAATGGCAAAAAATAAAACAAACAAAAAAACATCACTGATCACACTAACTTGGTCTTGATCTCCATTCATACTTAAATTCAACCGTGACTGCAGACAAGATTGAGGCGTCTTCAAAACCTGTTATAAAACTGTCTGAATTAAACTACCTCAGTCTAACTGTAACCAAGCCTAACCCTTACCTTTCAGCTAGAAGAAGTAAAGAGTCGACAGAATTCTCAGAGCTGTCCTAGATAACAAGACCTTTTTCACTGACGCCATCCACAAATATCTGACACTCCCTCGCACCACTGCCAAGATTCTGTTCACTGACGTGTCCGCCTTCCACACCCTAGTGGAGAAAATAACTAACTCACCACTGGAGTAACGGAAAACAATATCCATTTCAGAAAATTTCCATGAAATGTTGCTTCCGATTCTTCCTACAGGACAGTTTGCCTACATCACGTAGTCTAGTTGTATCCAACGACCACTGAAGTCTCAAAACACAAGACCGACAAGTGTTTCCACCAACTTTTCGAGTGTATTCTGTCACATGAAATCTGCTAAAAAATAACTTTTCTCTAGTTTTTTTTTTCAAATCTGCTAAAAAATAACTTTTCTCTATTTATTTATTTATTTTTGCTGCTCCAATGTTTTCTGCTACTTCAAATATGTATTACTTTATTCATTATATGACTCTTTTTACAAATCTGTCGGTCATGTCCCTCTATATTAACCTGCGGGATGATCATGATCTTAAGCAAAAAAAAAAAAAGAAACACATTACAAGGCCAATGCATTAAAAGAGAATTAATTTAAGTCACATTAGAGCACTGACCTGTCACTGGACAAACTGACCTGTCATTGGACAAACTGACCTGTCACTGGACAAACTGACCTGTCACTGGACAACTTACTGGACACTTTGATATAACATCCTAACTTGAAGAAATTTGAATTTTAAATGATAAATTATGTTGCTATGTCTACTCATGCATCCACTTACACAACACATTGTAATTATCATCATGAATGCTGTTCATGAACTAGTTTCGTCTTAGATAGAATTTAAATTTTCCGTTCCATTTTCTTGACTAATTGAAATGATGATGATTATTATAATTATTATTAACTATCATTTGATGATAGGCTAATGACGCACAGTGAAGACTCAGTGTATCACATCATATATATATATATGTATATATATATATATGCACCCTAGATATGAGCTTTCTGAAAGTGTGTCATGTTACGAGTCTGCAACTATTACAGGATTTTGCGTCTGAGAGGAAATTGTCTAGTTACGAGTCCTCAACCGAGCTCCAATTTTTCCATCCGAATTTGAAAAAAGTGGCCCAGATGCTGTCGCACCGTCCTGCACACTGTCCCTCGCTTGGTCGTTTGGCCCGTCGCTTTCTTTTCTTTCAATCATGTAAATCGAGCCCTCGCTCCCAATCCTTCTCGCTCAATGTCCCTCGCTTGGTTGTCTTTCAATCATGTAAATCGAGCCCTCACTCCCAATCCTTCTCGTTGCTTTCCCCATTTTTATAACAACATTATGAAATGTTTTCCTAAATATTATTATTTTATATTATCGTTATATTTGTTTGTATCTATGTTTTGGAAAATTTGATCCAGATACGAGTGGACTCGTATCTAGAGAGTCCACCGTATGTTTTTCCTGTACACATTCTAATGTGTATTAGTGTGTATCAGATGTCTTTTTGTACATAATTTTAGCTCAGACTCTTCAATAATTTGCTGATTTGAAAATGAGTTGATTTTCAGTTCACAGGAACAACAGGTGTGAATATAACGTTAGTGCTTTTTGGTCTCTGTATCTGGTTCTGTGATGGACGTGCAACCGGCTCAGGCTGCGTTTAGCCTTTGCTAACGTTCACCGGTAGGTAGAAAATAAGTTCATAAGTGTGTAAAAAAAAAAAAAAAAAAAAAATCAAGTCTTTCAAAAAGCTGACATTTACTTATTAAATGTATACATTCACTGTGTGTTTTGCTAATCAAGTCCATGTGTTAAATCTGTTTATTTTTGTTTATCTGAGTTTTGATTTAAATTCACCAAATTCAGGACAAGAGGTGTGACGATGGGTACTTAAAAACAAATCTGTAACGGAGAACATAGTGAACTTTAATTAAAAAGAAATTAAAGCATAATGCCAATAATTACTCTGAGGAGTGGAGTGGCTGCAAAGTGGAAGTGTTTGTGAATGTTGTGTAAGGATGACTAGTTATTAATTATAGATAATTAAGGGGGAGGGAATGTTAGAAAGGTTGTTTTGTTTATAGAAATGTATTAAGAAAATGTGGACAGTGCACCGGTTTAAAAACAAAACAAAATCAGGTCAAATATATTTTAAAATGAACCTAAAAAAAAACCAACATATGTTGCTGTTTGGCAGCTCTTCTCTGTAGCTTTGAGCAGGACAGTATGTGCGGTATGTGGTTTCATCAAATGTTTCTCACCATTTACTCATCTATAATTGTGACATTTATTTTTTTCAAACAGTTAATTATTCGCCATGACCTGGCAACTTATCAAGGTAACACAAAAGCTCACACCTTGTATTGTTAAATCAGGTCTTCATTCTCCGAACATCACACACAAAGCACAATTACAGAAAATTAAGTCTTTCAACATGTGAGACCATTGTTGTCATCACTGACACACGTGAGTATTTGTCGCAATGAGCTTAGACCTCACACAGAGTTCTCGTGTCGTTTCTTTGGTTTTTCCTTTGAGAATGTAAAAATAAAAATTTAAACTTTAAACAAATGACCAAGTGTATAAGTTAAAAAAAACGTAATTTATAAAAATCATTTATTTTATCTGGGAAAAGTTGTGAAGAACTGTAATGTAGTATTTTCCGCAACCCGTTAACAAAACGAAGCCGTCTGGGTTAAAGCGAACCCAAATACTACACAAATACTACATACTATACTATATACTATACAGTATGTGTCTCTGCATTCGATCTCAGTATTGAGTTACACACAGGTTTCAGACATCAATACAACACAGATCCAAAAATGTTTGACCTTTGTCTGAAGGCTTTGACGCAAGTGTATTTGTAAAATATGTCAAAGTATCAGTTGACAAACACAAAGTTTTGTTTTGTCTGTGTGTTATAAAGTCAACTGAATGAATACATGTTTTAAACCTCTCTCTTTAAAGAGAAATATACTAAATTGTTTGTTGAAAGTGGGGTACTATAAAAACAATCATGAATTACAGGCGTAGCAATTAATTAGTGGCAACATTTGACACAATAAGTAACATTTTCTTAAATTTAATTTCTTTATTTTTGCCAAAATAAATTTGAACACATTTTAAACAACTGATTTAGGACTGATAAAAAAAAAAGTATGCAATATTAGTAGCACAGATTATTTCAAGTATTATTTTTTACTAAGGCAGTGGTTCTCAAACTGTGGTACGCGTACCACTGGTGGAGCGCTCTCTAGTGGTACGCGGGGGAAATTTCATATTTTCACATTCACATTTAAACATAACTTTTTTTTTGCAGGTTTTCCTTAATATTGTTTTTAAAATATTATAGTACAATGCTGTCATACTTGAACTTTAACTAGCAGTTGTTACATATATAACGTGAGCGCTAACTGCCCAGGGGTATTAACACCGCCTTTGACTGAATTTTTGGATTGAACTCCGTTCTCCAAACATTCACCCCCAACGAGACCCTTAAAAGGACGAAGCAGTGAAGGATGAACGACGAACAAGCTGTTGAAGCAGGATTACAGAAAACATTTTAACAATGACTTTGAAGAAATATTTTAAAACTACAATAGCCAATTGGATGTTTTTTGGGGGGCAGGGGTTGGGGGGGAGGGGGGGGGAACAGTCCCTTGATACCCTCCAACCCAGCAGACTGTAAGTGGGAAAAAGAGTTCCAAAAACAAGCCTAATGGTAACTTTACTTTGAAGTAGACAACTACTTAATGTTTCATCCACTAACCCTAAAAAACTCTTGCGACCAACCTGAGGGTCGCGACCCAGTCTTTAGGAAACAATGCACTAACTCATGAGAGGATTTTTTTTTTTTTTTGTTACAGAATATTGTTTCAAACTGCTAACATTTTTCAGAGCCCTAGCTTCTGTGCCATTCAATAATTATGTTTGATAGTCTTTTGATAATTGTCTCCTGGAACATTCTGCAACTGTGGTGAATAATTATAATTAGTGTAGTATCTACACAACACTGGCAGCTTCAGCTGTTTTATTAAAATAAGAGGTCTCGAGTAAGATAGAGTAAAACAAATACATCATCCTAATTTACTGCACAAAAATATCTTAGTATCAATATCAAGTCCAGTGACACTGGACGGGAGCAGAGGAGAAAAGTTCAAGAAATATGCAGCATCGTATCTGAAACGTTAGAAAGAAACAGGGAGAGAGTCGGGAATGAAAGGAAAAAGACCGTGTCTTCCCAAAGACGAGAAACAGCGATATTTGATTTATCAGGTCATGACAATATTGACGCCGGGCTGTGTGTGACTCAGGATGGATCTCAAGAGACAATAAAACTTTGTTCCTAAATTACAGAAGTCCAACAGGCAGATCCTGTTTGGTAACTGACGTATGACAAAGAACAACGTGCTGAGCATTTCATTTTTGTTCCAATTATAAAAATTGTGCTAGTTCACACACAAGATTTTTATTTTTATTTATTTATTTATTTTTTAGTGTTTTGTAGGACAAAATACTGAAACTGCCAACAAAACTTTTAGAGTCTTCCTTTCTTACAGTCATTCTTTCTTCTGGAGTCAGTAGAACACTGATATTTTATTTTCAGCTCTGAGACCAAAGGGAGGAAGAGGAAGGTTCTTTGCGGCGACCATAATTATGAATAATTAACTTTAATTACATTGTTGCTGATGCAGTCACAAAAAATTCAATCTACGCAAGTATCAAGGTGTTCACGCTAATTAACCAAGCCGCGCCTCCCTCAGATGTGCTATTTAAGGCTCCACTGCCACACTTCAACATTCAGTGAGAACAGAGATTCCTCTCCATTCACAGCATCTGTAAGTATACAGCGTACTCTCACTGTACTTCATGCATTTGTTTTGGGGTTTTTTTCGTGGCTCAGATCTACAGGTCCTTCACCTGTTTTTGCTCAGTGTTCACACTCTGCGTGTCGGAAAAACCTCTTCTGTCAATGCACTTGTGCGTTGAATGTGCATTGTAGAAATTAAAACCGACAGATCTGTTCGTGGAGAAATTCTGACTGACTGAACGTAACAATATCATGTCCTGTTTTTTTTTCACTGCAGCACAATCATGGGCAGGTTGATTCTTATCGCAGGTAAGGCATTTTCTAAACTTACTGTACTAGGGGTCACCAACGTTTCTGTCCCAGAACTGATTAATATTACATTGTTGGGGAAGTCTGTATCAAAGAAGTAGCTCTTGGTTTTACTAAGTGACCTTGAAGTTGCTCTCAGTTTCAGAAAAGCCAGTGACCCCTGTATTATACTAACATTAGCAGAAGTTAATTTTCAGATGATGTTAATGATTGTTTTTCGTTTGTTTGTTTGAATCACTTTAAAGGTCTCTGCTTGGCCATTACCAGCTTGGGTAAGTTCACATTTTAGCATTAACAAAGCTTCGTTACCTGCCGATTCCTAATCAACGTTACAACAGAGTACCTGACTGAGACCCTTCACGTTTTCAGCTTCTGCCTATCAGCTGATGTGTTACATCGAAATCAGCTCTACAGGCCGAACAGCACCTGCAGATTTCAGCGTCCCTGATGTTGATGGAACTCTCTGTACCCATCTGGTTGTGGCCCACGCTGACATAGATGGGAATGATTTGGTCGCTAATGAGAACGATGATCTCACATTCTACACCAGTGTAACCAATCTGAAAAACGAGTGAGTAGTTCACGATTAAACTACAATTACAGACACAGATACAGTTACGAGCACAGTTCCGTTCCAGGACCGAGCTCGTATCTCAAATCATTTTTTCTTTTTTGTATTAATACTAATACAACTAGTAATAATAACAACTGCTGAAATGACTTTCTCCCACAGCCATTCAAGTCTCAAAGTCCTTCTGTCAGTTGGTGGCGCAGACTTTGACACACAAAAGTGAGCAATGCTAAGATGATAACATACTAAAAATCTGTTGGGAATTTAGCATCACTCCAATTCAAAATCCTTTTCACAAAATGTTCAGGTTCTCAGACATGGCAGCAACAGATGTGAATAGAGGTGAATTCACCGCATCCGCTATCACTTTCCTGAGAGATAACAACTTTGATGGACTCATGCTAGACTGGAGATACCCACATGAAACAGATGACAAAGATCGGTTCACAACACTCTGCGAGGTACGACCCGATTTACTGAAAGAAATATCTCGCCAGGAAAATCTGCTACATACATCTGTGAACCTATGCTTGTCTCTATGTGTAGGAGCTGTCCGATGCCTTTGATGGTGAATCATCTTCAAACACATTGCTGCTCGGGGCTGCAGTGTCTGGCATGAGATCCATCATTGACGAGAGCTACGACATCGGAGTGGTTGCCGGGTAATTTAACCCTAATATTCTCTGCTTTCGCAACATTTATTTCATATTTATGT